CATGTCTTCAACCACGTTCCAGTCAAGGCATGAGGAGAAAGGAGCTTTAGCAGAGGTTGAGGTATACTAGAGTTTAACTAGAAAAGAAAGCATTTGGCCAGTGAGATGACTCAGCAGGTAAAGCTCTCACCATGCCAGGACCTGAGTTTGATTCCTGGGAACTCACATCCAGAACGTTGTTCTCTGACCTGTGGTTTATCAGAGGGACCAGACATGGTGGTGTACAGAGAGACACTGGTGTGTATAGAGAACTGTATCTTTAGATATTGATGATGTATTTACAGCAATCCAAGCTCTTTACAGAATGATGCATTTCCATCATGAACTAAAATTGATCCTCAACAACAGTGATCCTTTTTTCCTTTCAACACAAACACCATTTTCTGGCCAGTGCAAATTACCCTTATGTGTTTCTATTGTTTGCTTTTCTGTTCAGCAGGTTAAGTCTTCTGTGATGCCACTGCCATTACGTTTTCTACGTAGAAAAATCTATTCATTATGAACACATTTATTGCTTCATTGACTTGCCTGTTTAAAATGCAGAGAACCACAAATTAAATGTAGTGCTTTTCCATTTTGAAAAAAGGCAGATGAATGGGCACTATTTTCTTGACTGTTTGTCTCACGTGACTGACAGTCCATACTTACAGGTCAGCAAATTCAAGTCTGGGCTTGTTTGGCACCTGTTCCTCGGTGGTCATTATTGGAAGGGATGCCTCCTGAGATTCAACACGCCATGTTCTGCATCGGAGGAAACAAGGTGGTCACAATGGAGTCAATTGCTTTGGGGAAGCAGATAACTGTCCTCCAAAAACCTATTACTGTGAGGGTAAATTAACCAAGTAATAAAACAAGTTCTTGTAAAATTCTCAAGTAGCTTTGCTACAAGGTTAATTCATTAGTTACTTCTGGATTTGAATTTATAGCCTTTGATAAATATTTATTGTATCTAAAACTTTGGCTTTTATTTCGGACAAGTATTTTAATGTCATATCAGTATTTTCCTGAATACCCAACTCTCATCAGTCTTAATATTCCTGTGGTGACTACATATGGGTGTAGATCACAGTACAGTACAAGGTGCTAGCTATTAAAGGAGACGCCTACAGGTAGTGGATCAGCCTACAGGTGTGGATCAGCCTACAGGTGTGGATCAGCCTACAGGTGTGGATCAGCCTACAGGTGGTGGATCAGCCTACAGGTGTGGATCAGCCTACAGGTGTGGATCAGCCTACAGGTGGTGGGTCATGGATCTAATCTAGCAATAGACCTGACTTTGCCTTTTGAGGCCCAGTAAGCTACCCTGGCATCTCACATCTTTCCCCCTTATCCCAACCCCTTAGTTCTTGTCTTTACTTTTCCCATTATAATATCAAGGAGGACTCTGTTCCATTTCTTTTTAATATAACATTTTTATTAATTAGTTGACAATGTCATGCATGTGTACAGTATATTTTGACCATATTTACCCTCTACTCCTCCCTCTAACCCCTCTCAGATCTACTTTGTGTTCTATTTCTTAACATATATGATAGATTCTTCTAGAAGCTTTGAGACTTCATTCTCAGTGCCACAAATGTCATCAGGCTCATAACCCTGTTGGCTCTGTTAGAACAACAAAACAGAAACCCCTGCATTCTCTGATTGGCTGTTCCTCGTTCCGCTTTGATGGAATAACCACTGTTCCCTCAGGCTCTCTGAGGATGTCCCTGGAATCCCTGTTCTACCTCTAGACCTGGATGGCAAAGCATCGCACCTGTCTTCTCGCTGCTGTTGGAATTCAGCACGTCCCCGAGAGCTTTCCCAGTGGGGCTTGTGAGGAAACCAGGCTCAGCAAGCCCGGTGCTGTTTGAACACTGTTGTCTCCCCGACCTCACCACTCTTGTGGACTCTGCTCTTTAGATCATTCTCCATCTGACAGATTCTCCTGTCATCCTTTGACCTCCTGGTCATCTGTGTTACTTACTGCCTCCTTCAAAACCCCCTGCCTTCATCAAAAGCTTCCTGCTGTTCTAGATTTTCAGTTCTTAACCTTTCTCAATTCTAGTGACCTTCACCTTCTCTTTTTATAATCTGTTCTCTTAAACTCTAAACCATTGTTAGGAAATGCACCATCTGTGAGCTTTCATGTTCACATAATTCTTTCCAATGAGTCAGGACCTCTAATAAAATACTGAGGACTCTGGATGATGATGGCTGTCTGCACTGGTTAGGTTTGGTTTTTTGTTTGTTTGTTTGGTTGGTTTTTGTTTTTATTTTTGTTTTGTCATCTAGACACAAGTTAGAGTCGTCTGAGAAGAGGGAACCTCAACTGAGAAAATGCTGCTATCAGATTGGCCTAAAGGCAAGTCTGGGGTATTTTCTTGATGAATGATTTCTGAGGGAGGGTCCAGCCCTTCCTGTGGGCATGGCCATCCCTGGGTAGGTGGTCCTGGGTTGTATATGAAAGCAGGCTGAGCAAGCCATTTTTTTTTTTTGCTTACTTTTAGTAGTATAAGCTGATGTGTTAACATGAAGAAAAGAAGCAGCTTTTTCCTGTATTTTATCTGTGTGTAATGAAGCTTGAGATATTTCCTCAGTTCTGCTTTCCAGATCATTAACCTTCCCTTCAGCACTGTCAGACCTATTAATTCTATTTTTTTTTAATTTCAAGATTTTAATTGGTTTCTTTTTATTTTTACCT